AACTGTGGTAAAGATACAGTCCAGTTCGGAACATCAGGTTAAATTTTCATAGCTACTTCCGCGTCGTTTTGCATTGGTCACCCATGAAGGCCGTTAAATAATGGACACCACAAGAAAAGGATGGGCGGAAATGAGTATTTTTAGATTCGGTGGTATTCATTTTAAGTGCCGATTAAAAGCCATCTGTGTATGATTTTAAAAAGCCATCACCTATGATTTTTTTAAAAAACTGTTGTCAGTAAAATAGTTTGGAAATGAATGAACTGACGATGAATGGCGAGATTGAAAATTTTAGACCAGACGTCACATTCCCATGTTCAGTTTAGAAAAATACACGTCATCCATGTTCACTGAACTGGGAATGGACCCGAATGACGCAGGTGTTTTGTAGGAATAAATTTCCTTCGTGGAAACAATCATATCGCTGGGCCGAAAAGTCCCAAGTACATGTTTACAGAACGTTTTGCCATTTCATTGGCTTATTCTAGTTTTGGCTTTAAACCAGGGGTTTTTCCTACTTATAATTCCGAATAAATTTTATCGCAAGGGAAAGCCCCAGAAGTAAATGTTTACAGAACGAATTGGTATATATTTCATTGGCTTATTCTAGATTTGGCTTTAAACTAGGGGTTTTTCCTACCTATAATTCCGAATAGATTGGCATCTCTGCGGTAGCAGACACCAGATTTTGACTTTTGGGAGCCAGATGCATAAATCTCAACTTGGGAAACACCAGCTACAGGGGCGGACCGGGAGGATTTTGTGATAGTGGGGGCCTAGAGATGTAGTTTACAGTGGCAATATGGGCGAGATAGCGCCCATCAGGACTGCGAACGGCGCAGTTTTCTAGGGAGTCTCGGGTGCATGCTCCTCCGGGAAAATTTTTGAGATTGAAGTTCTCTGACATGCAATATAGTGCATTCTGGACGCTTAAATTTAGCAAATGCCTGGATTCCTTATTGAACATGTACTGCTGAAATATCTCATAAACCACAGGTGTGGTTGTAGCCAAAGAAGTAATTAACACTTTATGATGCTAGCTGCAGGGGCCGAAGCGATTGCCGCGAGAGCACAACCTCCCGGCAAAGGCGGCAACATTATCTTCCTGAAAAATTGTCAAATCCAGTTTGTTTGAGACGGATATTTACTGCATACATTCTGGGAGCTTTGGTCATTTGTGACTAAATCAAAAATGTGGGCCTCGAACACACATTCTTTTCTTATAAACAATGTTTATTAAAGAAAATATATTTAAGTAACAAGGCTCGAAGTACCATCCGACACACGTCTACGAAAGAAAAAATTCTCGGACAAAAGGGGGTGCCGGGGCCCCCTGGGACCGCCCCTAAATCCGCCCTTGAGCTAATCCCTATTTTAAAAAGTACAAATTATTAGCTAGAAATGCTCTACTTTTTTCACCTCTCTTATATAATTCTATATCTCGTTCCAAATGGGCATACTTCTTCAGTTTTCAAGAACTGACAAAAGTAAATCAAAATTATTTGCCATCTGTTGAAAAACGACTCATCTTTTCCACATGAAATAACTAGAACCTCCGAGACTTACCAGAGACAAAACCAGTCCGCGTGTCTTGCGTGATGTGTATTTCTTTCACGTCGCACCCGACTTCCTTGGGATGCGCAGAAAATGTGCGCAAAAACAATAGTGGACACCGTTTTACGTCCGCCGTGGTGTGCGTACCATGTTTTTCTGAACCTATTGATTTGATTTTTGCTTTTAATATAATTCTTGTTGTCGTCGCTGTCGGGGAGAAAATAATCCTCCTATTTTCAATAGCTATGGAACCTACTTTGGTCAGCGGTGAGTTAATTAAGATGGGCCCGTCTTAATGAGCTCTACGCGTTTCCTCATTTCTGATTAATTACTTTCTTGTACTCTGTCTACTTTTTCTGCATTATTTCGATACAAATAATAATGCCGCCCAAGTAGTAGCAAACTTAAGGAAGTTTTCTTTCACTATCGTACTATCGTATTATTTTGTTAACAGTCAGGCCCGCTTTACGGCCACCCGCTTAATACGGACAGTTTTCTTTGCCCCTGCGGAAAGCCCTTATTTTTCAAATTAAATAAATTGTTGTTGGATGACCCTTTATTGCTTTTTTGTAACACTTACTTTTTCGCGCCATTTTTTCAGATCAACCTTTCTCTAAACCGAACTTCAATTTTTTTTTGCGCCATTTTCTCAGATAAACCTTTCTCTAAACCAAACTTCAATTTTTTGGCGCCCTTTTTTCAGATCAACCTTTCTCGAAACCGAAATTCAATTTTTCCTTGGTTCAAATCACAGGCAGCCCAGACGTAGTATGTGTCACTGAATGAATATATTTCCGGCCAGGAAAGACAAGGATACGTTCAGTTAAAGGTATCTTAACTTTGTTTTGTTATATTTTGACTTTTGGACTATTTTAGTTCATGGGAGTTTCGACGCCTCATCCTATTTTGCCCATGTGAATATTAATATATTCATTTGACACATACTACGTCTGGGCCGCCTGTGTTCAAATATTAATTCCTTTGTGAAAGATTTTAACCCAGAAGTCATAGTATAACATCAGCTGACGTGATGCAACTCACTTTGACTCTGAAGATGAGTACCACACAGGTTGTCGAAACGTCAGTCACTGTCAACAACAACAGTCCTATTCAGGACTACGTTCACCCGGACGATCATACTTAACCTACTTATCAATTCCTTTGTTTCAAATACATTAATAAACATTACCATACTTACAAACATGCAAAGGAAAATAAAATTTAACCCAGGAACAACATATACAAGAATCGCAGGGAAAACGGCCAATTTTGAAATCAGAAAAGTCGCTGTCCAATATTATTCTTTACATAGTTTTCAGGTTGACATGTTCAAGTAAACCATAAAATTTGGCAAAAACCACTCCCAGATTATCGCAATAAAACACCTGTGTGTTGAGTTCCCTTACGTCTTCCTGGTAACGAAAAAAAAAAAGACGGGTTTCCAAGCAACGCTCTAAGCCTTCACCCCAGACGGAGTTTGCCGCTGATAAAGGCCCGGGCTTCGACGCAGACGTTCTTAGTGGTTCATCACCGTGAGAGGCTGATAAAGGCCCGGACATCTAATCTGTAACTAATGTCAAAATTAATGGAACGCAAAACCTCTGATAGAAGTTTAACCTAGAAAGGTAATATTTTCTTAACAGGTGTTCTGAAAAAATTGTCACTTATCTGAAAACTGGCATGTGACCAGCAAAAATGGAAGGATATTTCTCAAAGGAGCATGACAGGAAGTCAAACTACACTTGTTATTCTGGGTGTATGCGTAAGCAGGCAGAAGTGTGCAGCGCCAAAAAGGGATGGTTCTTAGCCTAATTTCATGGACGGGGTGGGAGGTTTGTGACTTTAAACTGTCAACACAGTGTTTCACTGGCGTCAAAAGCGAACCGTTGAGAGAAAAGAAATATAGAGAATGGTGGAAACCCAAGAGTCATGTCAACTAAAGTAAGTGGAATGTGATCGTCCTGTGACTGTGTAGTCCTGCCGGAATATGACTGTTGCTGACACAATGACTGACGTTTACAACCTGTGCGGTCGTCATCTTCAGAGTCAAAGTGATATGTATCTCGTCTGTTGATGGTCTTAAACTTTAGTTATTGACCTGACTGGTCAATAAACTCGCGTTTTCACTGGTCGTCTGTCAGTTAAAGCTATGAAGACTCTCTCTCGATCCGTCTTCTGTTATAGTAATGACAGCTGTGTTTTAAAGTTATTCCGACAAAAATTTTCGGTTTGTCCATTCACTCTCTCGTTGTCAGTTTTGCTTGAGGTCGTCAGCAAGTCATTTAAAAGGAAATGAAATTCTTGATAACCCATTTCCAAATGCGTAAGTGATCAAATGAAGGTACGAGTCCCACCACAGCAAGCATTACCGCGCGCTTTTGTTGGCCCGAAAGTTAAAACGCGCGAACGTACTTGTTATGCAGGCTACACACGATAGCACCCACCCCTCCCCCCGCTCGCACGCATGACACCTGTCGCTCGTTAACACTTTAGAATGTTGTTTTAACCAAAATAAAAGGAACTCTGTCCGCAAGGCAATTTTCGTGCCATACGGAGAAACACTAGAATCACCCAGGAAACACTGGCACACCTCTTACAATTTAATCAAAGATTCCGCAACAAAGGAATACAATAATTGTTTGAATTGTGCGAAGCTTCCTACGAAGCACAACAAAAACTCAATGCATTACAAAAGATCATTTAATCAGCGTGATATATGTAGATATATACCTGTGACGTCAAACAGGTCTTAAAACTAAGGTACTCCATGGAAATAGATACCGAAAATTATCTCTTTGCATTTGCACAGTCCTGCTGCTGATAAGATACGCGTCATTCCTTGTAACGAAATGAGTAAAAGTTTCCACTAAAACTGAAATACAAAGTATAACCGAAGGCGCAGGCGAAGCATGTTCCTGACCGACAAAATAGACGCTTTTAAAACTAAGGAATCTTAATTTATCTGGTTTTTAAATATCTAAGCTGCAAGACTAACTGGCAATACTGTGAGCAGTTATGTTCTCTTTGGAATTGAATCTGTGAAACTGTAAGATGCCCTGTAAGAGGGAATATTAACCACCCAAGCGTACTATATCCTCTATCTATCCTTAAAACTCTAACATGTAAATACGAAATATATCCCTACTCCATCTTGAACAAACAGGAGAAGTTAAAATCAATCGTATTTCTAATTATTTTCTTATATTAAGATTCCCATTACCAGCATGTGTACGTTTCAAGAGGAAAAGCAAGAAACATGAGGGTTGTATAATTAAAAGGACCAGTGGCCTGAAAATCAGTTTCTCTCCCTTATATTTGCAATCAATATACAGTTAATTTTAAACGATTTAATACTTTTAAAAGAAATTCGCCACATTTCGTATACCATACGTATTATACATGGAAATTCAAAACAAAAGAGAAGTAACTCGTTATTATTTCAGCAGAATTCCGAACGTAAGTAAATTCAAAATTAAAAACGAAAATTCAAAGAACGTTGAATGCAAGGCCACAAAACCATCTATCAACCGTAAAAAATTCTTGGCGTGTGGAGTTAAAAACAGCGAAACATGTGTAATACACACTTTAAAAATTTTTCATATTCTCCAATTACATAGAAAATAAGCAATTACTAGACCTTTTTTTTTCGAGTAAGGCTTTTGCACAAACATAAATGGTCAGATCAAACAGGTATTTATTTGGCAGAAATTCAAACAAACGGATAAGCACCTCTTTTTGATTTCGAGGAATAAGGTTTTTGACGCAAAACAAGTGCATTTTGGTATCTCTAAAATATCAGATCACGTTCAGCAGACATGACAATATGGTGAACATTAAAAAACGAAACAGACATGAAACTCTCTTGTTGCCACGCTCTGATCGATCTTTTCTCATTACAAGAACTAAACTGACAATTCATTTGAGAATTAAACCATTTTAACATTTTTGTCCTTACGAAACAAACGAAAGGAAAAAAATCATTATTTTTAAAATCCAAGTGTAATGGTATCATTTCAAAACCGCACACCAAAGATCTTAAATGTATATAAGTCTTCAATACAATTACTTTATTCAAAAGACGTGGTTTTTAGCGGAGGAATAAATTATGGATTTTAATTTATGGAATAAAACTGCCTAGCAGTGAGACTGTATGCCGTTGGCAGGGTCGATCTACAACCCGAAAAATAGAAAAAAAATTCTTTTCCTTTGCTAAAATTTCAGCTGTATATTTATGTTTAAAAAGCTGTAAAAATTACCGACATGGCCAGATTATTCACTTCAACGTAAAGGAAATGGCCCCTTATAAATATTAAAAACCTAAGGCTAGAGAATACAAAATCCAACTGAACCAACAAGTCAAAATTAACAGCGAATTTATCCCCTAAAAATTAGTCAAAGTTTGTGAAGAATTATGAACACGAAAAAAAAAATTAGTTTCTAAAAGAAAAACAACTGCTTCGAGGTAAGCCAAAAGGGATTTCCTATGTACCAAATTAATTTTGGTTTATATTTTCCGTGAGATTTCAAATGAAATCGAGCCCTTGGTGGGATGACGAGTAAACAATTTTAGCGATCGCTCAATGCTTTCGAGTCCAATAAACTTTTCGCTTGAGTTCTGTGAAAATGTATCCCACATTTTACTTGGCTAAACGGCAGGAACTACCTACCTTCAGCGGCAATATATATATTTTTTCTCTCTCAGAAAGAACTGGTAAAATCTCTTGATGCTCGGTGTGGTCAAGTGAGGAAATACATTAAAGCAGATTGATGGCGACAAGCTTCCGAAAATTCACCAATACGATTTGCTACTGGCTCCTTACCGCATTTTTTACATAGTAAAATCTACAATTTCTCCGCACATCTACTAAGCAAGATAAACGGTAGCTAGCTCCACAGGTTATACGACCAATAAAATTACACGATCACAAGGCTACCTTAACTACATATACACAATTTGGTGACCGCTCTAGCTTTGGATGCTACGGATTCTAGAAATTGACGAATTTAATGCTACTTGCTTGTAGCCACCTCTCGAGCACAAGCAGATTCTGCGTGCTTATTGAGGTATGATTTTAAAGCGAACGTTCGATCACAGCGGTCGCACTTGAACTGTTTCAGCGGCGAGTGCGTTTGCATGTGGGCCCGTAGATTCGAACGATCCGCGAACGCTTTATTGCATTCAGGGCACAAGAACGGCCGTTCTCCCGTATGAGATCTCATATGTCCCTGCAGAAGCCAGGGTCGACTAAAGGCTTTTCCACACACGTCGCACTTATGAAGAAGCTTGTGAGTTAAAACATGCATCGCCAACGCCGGCATTGAGACATACGCCTTGCCACAGTGCTCGCAGCGTTTAGCGAGCTTGCTGTCCAAGCTTCTGTGAGTCTGTTTATGTCGAGAAAGATTCGAAGATGTGGCATACGACTTACCACATTCAGCACAAACATACCGGCTTCGACCGCCAATGGCGTTCTCAGCGCCTCTGTGGCGTCCATCAGAACGACTCTCGTTTATGTCCTCCACGTAATTGCCGTTTTCGTCCAAAGTTGCTTCTTCCGCTTTTCCTCTCACTGTTTTAGAAATTTCACGGCGTTTCTGCTTGCTTTGTGGCAGGTTTTGCGAAGCTGATGATTTTCCCGACTCACTCGCGGTCCCTGAAAAGGTAAGCGAGTGCAAAAAACCAACAGGTGTTACTAAAACAAGAATACAATCAACAAATTTCTCTGTCAGCCAGGCCAGGGCGCAAAAACGAAGCAGTCAGAAATTGAAAAAAAAAAAGATCGACAGCTTCGAGACCCTCAAAATAAATTTAACATGATAATAAATATTTTGAAAAAAAAGGAAACAGAACTCACCTTCGGTAACAGTCGAGTTTTTTTGAAGGCAGGAGTTTGATGGCAGACTTCCATATTCTTTTCCCTTCTTAATCAAGAACGATTTCGGCATTTTTCAGCAGTGCTTTCCGCTGACAGCACCAACATTTCTTGCTACGAAATTCGCCATTTTCCTGGAAATAAACGGCACATCCCGGCCACTAGCATGATATTGCGAATCGAGATAAGCTTAATTCATCTCAGGAAACTTTCATCTCGCGATCAATCGTCGACAGTAGCTAATGACAATTTTTCTCGGCCCACATGTTCTCATAGAATTTTCACAATTCTAACCGGAAGCCACGGATCTGTGTTTGAATGAAATGCCGAACTCCCACACCGGTTAACGGGCTTCAAGCGAATTTCCCAAAGCCTTTCTAGGTCAGTCGAACCAGTGTCGTTTAAAGAAGCAGTTTCAAATCATTTCCGACAGAGAGGGAATAGCAAGGGGGACGTAAACAGTGAAGACAGGACGTCGCGCTCATTAGCGATCCATATCGAGTTATTATTCGGGGGGTTTTGTAGGCGGGGTCTGTTGTTGAACGGGGAAATTCTAGTCCAACGAAGCTGTATATTCTCGGTGAGATCCCTAGGTCTTGTCAGTGTCGGGCCACCTGTTGCCAAGGGACTAATCTGCATACAAAATATTACAAATAATTCATATCTACATTAATATGCATGAGCTATCACTGGCACACCGGAGTTTTGGCGGTAAATGCGGCCTGACAGGCACAAAATCGCGCCAAGCGCGACAAGCAGCCACATGATTGGCTAAGCAGTTCACACGCTCACCAGATTGGCTAGAAAAATTCATTACAGGAAACTCCAAAGCAATATTTTCTGAATTCATATTAAGTGCTCTCGCTGATTTCCTCGAAGCAATTCAAATAATTTTCTATTACTGTCGAGAAATATTTCAAAAAATCTTATCGACCATAAAACTAGAAATTTATTGCATTTACTTTATTATTTTGTATCAAATTACACACATTTCTAGCTCTGACGTTCAAAATATTTAATTTCTTCTCTGTCGACACTTTGTATTATTTATTTTCTTTCCCGAAATTAAACGCACAATACCTGTCAGCTTTTCTTCTATTATTAGTTTGTATTTTCGAAAAAGAGTTAAACTATCCTTCTGAACAATTTATGCGACCGAATCCGCGGGACCGATAAATTTCGAATACGATTCTGAGGAAAAAACGCTTTTGCATGTTCTATTAAAGAAGAAACATGCATGATTCAAAAGCACAAATATTACAAAATCACAAAACGTAAAATAAGAAAACGAAATGAATTTTTATCGGTTGACATCCGGAGAGAATCAAACTAGTATAATTTACCCTGAAAAAAGATTTATTTACACTCAAAAGTAAAATACGGCCCACGCGAGAGATTGTTCTCAAAATCACTTGTGGTTGTCATGACGTCAGAAGGCCTTTATCACCTTGCACCATGGAAGTAAGCCTGTTGAATGCAATTTCCGAAAAAAATGCCGTCGGTGTTCAAGACATAACCAAAATACAAAGCGCCATTTCGGTTTGTTTACAACAAAACTAAAAGAGTCGCGAGGGGAAATGACAAGAACCATAATGTAGTGTGTCATTTTTACCGGAACAACACACATACACACATGCTATTTCCACGTAAAACAAGCCATTAAGCCATTTGGTCGCAAGATGAATACATATGAATGAAAAATGATGCTTGGTGAAGACTAAGAAGCCTACAATTTAAGAGCATTTTAAAATTTGTCCTCTCCTATGCTTGATCTTTCTTGTTATACAATTCACAGCTTCAATTCTCCTAATGAAATATCGCCTTGGCGAATCATAAATACTGCAATAACTCTTTCGCGTTAGGGATACTGCAGCTTGAAGCAATCTCTCAAAGAAAATATTGATTCACGCCATGGATATTGCAAAAAGCCATAAGTTCTCGCGGAGATAAACACAAATTACTTTCTATTTCGGTGTCAACACCAACAAATCATTGAACAGCGAAAACTGAAAAAATTGCAAAGATATTTGGATGAAAAATTTGATTAATTACCAAGAGGTACATACATTTACGTCTATAATAAGACTAAAAAACAAAGATATCGACTCAACTTAAAAAGAATTCATGTTTGGAGAAAATGTGTGTTGAAATTGATCTATTATGAAAGCACAAATGAAAGGCATGGAATGGCTAGAGAGGTAAGCCGGGGTAAGCCACAAGCTTAATTGACGACTTCACACCGGGCGTTGGTGCAGCACGAAATTAGAAACTAAACTTTTTGTTTGTGGTAATAATGTACCGCATATAACAAGTTTGTAAAATGAAGAAGCGTGTTAGCATAACTGAAAATGCTTTGCAAGGTATAAAAGAAGTAAGATGATGTTATAATCTCATCAATTAACTTAGTGTGCCGTCTTCCGACTTCATGGTTAGGCTCAACTTTTCAAGGGCTCCGAGCGGTGCAATTGGTTCTTTTAAAATTTGCCTTAGCGGCGAATTCGCTTGGCAGCCGGTAATAATTTTCGCATTAAACAAGAGAAAGGTTGGCATGGTAACACACAAGCCTCACATAAAGCAATTTGCGGCTTTACATGCAAGAACCCTGCTCTCAAACCGTCGTCTTGTGTGTTATTTGCATAGAGTTAGGTGATAATGGCAGAGCCATAAGCTTCCGCAAGATTTGCTTTACGGTCACGCAATTAAAAGCCATTTGCTGGCCAAAACGAAACCTTCAGAGAATTGTAATCGACTGTTAAAAGTTGTATTCTTGGTCTATCATTTTTATAAAACAAACGACCTCGAGCAGAAAAAAATCAGCCAAAGAAAATCTTAGTGAGGCAATCCTGATCATAAATTATCCGCCACACTAAGAAAAACTGACAGAATTTTATCGCGAAAATGCTTTACGAACTCCCTTTTACTGAATAAAGCTGCAGACAATAAACCAAGAAAAAAAATGGCAAGTTTCCTTAAGAAGCAACCACGCAAAAGAGAAAATAATTGAGTTACTGTATAATGGCTGGGTTACAGTAATCATCCCTTAAATTTTTGCGTGAAACAAAAAAACTGATGCATTGCCCATTCTTCTGAGGGACCTCTGCAAGCAGGGAATGACCATTCTTGAACAGTTTCAGTGATCGACTGATAGAATATTAAATTTCCCTCAAATAATCTGAATTGTCAAAAACCTGGAAAATCTTTGTTTTTAAAGTTCGAAATACGAACCGTCCGTAAATGTGGCTCTACCAAACCAAATTAAAAGGAAAATTAACGATAAAAACATTTTATCACTTTTTGATATAATAATATAACAATAAAATCAAAGTTACAAGAAAAGCTTCGCGTGGAGAGATTCCGCTCTCAGCGGTAACAACAGCGTTGCTGCTTTCACTAGAGTCCAGACTTGCGCAGGCCGAAAATGCCGGAGGACTGGGCTGGCACCCGATAAAGCAATGAGTGTTTATAAACAGGTAATGCTTGGAAATGTTCAGCTGCTACAAGGTGAATAACCTACAAGACTGTCCGCTTCCACAGAAACGAATACAGTTTTAAAAGTTCAAGCTGCCGCAAAGCTAAATATCCAGATGTTGCAGATGAAACATGGGTGTTTTAACAATCCACGCAACAGGTGTAACGTCAGCTGCCATAGAGTGTTTTCACTCACGTGGCCAGCATCTATGCAAATTTATTGGAACAAAAGAAAGCGTTTACATGAGAAAAGTGTTCATCTCCCACAGGATTGGTTTGGGACACCAACATGGCCGCCGTTTTATTGTTTTGGGACACCAATATGGCAGCCGAGACGTCATGTGAAAACACTCTACACCCATGAGCGAATTAGTTCTGAAGTTAAAGCGAACACTTCCGAAGACCCTGAAGAACTACCTACTGCAACACATGCAGACGCCGGAAAAAGAAGCGCAAAATACGACATTAGCTGCACGAAAAACAGGAGACGGGAAGTTTTTACGTAAGTCAAAAGATATTTTAGGTGTACAGGAAGCGGATAAGAGGTTTTCTTATGCATTTCAAGGACTTTAAGGGTTCTTTTGACTTGTTAAATAATTCTTAATACAGGCGCATCCAACGAGAAGATAGTTTAAAACCACTTAAACATAGCTAATTTGAACGTATTTTAGTATTTAAACGGTAGATATAAGCATATTTTTCCCCTAAAAATTTTTCATCTGTTCGGATTTCCAAGCTGAAAGTCTAGTGATCCTAAAATTATAGGGATCAAAACTTACCTTTTCAAAAATTTCAGCCAGAAAAAAGCCTCCCGAAAATTCTCGGTGACCTTATTAGGGTGAAAATCCGTTAAAATGGGCAATTATACCATTTTTTTAGATGTTCGAAAATCCTAGAAAAGGTAGGCAAGCAAGATTTTTTACAACAAATGTTCCGAAAATTCTAGATCTCAAATCGTCTTCCGAACAGATATTTTCCAAAAAATTGACGTTGGGTGCCCCTGTTATTATATCTATAAATTCAGGTCACTGTAATTAGCCAGTTGAAGGTCGTCAGTAATCAAAATTGTATACTACAATAAGAAAATAAAGAAACTCAAAAATAAAGACAAGATAATAGTTCTACTCAACGATTCAGAGAAAAAAACACATTGCTTCTATCTTGCAAGCAGATTTCCCTTCTCTGTCGCCTGAAACTGATTTCAATTGAAAAATGTTTTATACAGCACTCTCTGAGTAGAGTAACTGTCTTTCCACAGAACTCTGTTAAAAAACCCGTGACTAGGAGAGGCTAAGTGGTTTGCGAAATTTTTTCTCATAGAACTCTTAGCCCCGGATGAAAAATGTACGGCAAATTTTCAAGTTTTTTAAGCGTTTCCTGTTTTAATTGTTTTATCGTTGAGTCAGACAGATATCTATTTTTAAGCACGTTTTTAACCCTTTAAACCCTAAGATCAAAATTAGAATTCTCATTTGTTGCCGCTATTCATTTCCTACAGAAGTAGAGGGCAGAAGTTGATAAGACATCAAGCAAATTCATCCTGTGTGATCATGTCCCCAATTCTCATGACCACTCTGTTTTTACAAAGGATTGATATTACAAGGG